CTCGTCCTGCGCGCGCGAGAGAGAGGAGCAGCTCGCGCGCAGGGTGATTTACAACAACAATCCCAGGCAGCTCGCCCGGCGCTTTTCCTTTCCGCTTTCCACGTCCTCCCATAATTCTCCCGTCCAATTTGGCTTCTTCTACTTCTTCTTCTTCTTCTGCTGCTGCTGGTTCTATACTACTTCTTTCCTCGCGCGCGCGCGCATATATATAGTCACGCACACACACATACATATACCTATATACGTTATACGCTCGGCTTTTCTCGCTACTGCTCTGGCTCTGCGGAAGCCGAGCAGCAGCGCGACTCGCTGCACTTCCTCTTTCTCTTTTCTTTCGTTCTTCTTCTGAAGCGCTTCTCTCTCTCTCTCTCTCTCTCTCTCTCTCTCTCTACCCACGTGTGCGCTGGTATTCGCCCAGGCAGCTCTCGAGGATTTTTCGCGCGGCACACACACATACATATAAGCGATAATCGTCGCCAGGGATCAAGCACGTGTGTGTGTGTGTGTGTGTGTCCTCTTATACTCGAGGCTTCGTCCTCATTTTTCGCGAAAAAACAACGGGAGCTGCGATCGTGCGTCGACTCGTCGTCGTTCCCGCCTGTCCGTGTGTGTGTGTGTGTGTGTGTGTGTGTATGTACGTGCCTCTGGTACGTACGTGAGCTTTTTCGGTCCGGATCCATCGCTCGCTCGCGCGGGTTCAACCGTCGACGTTATCTTACATTATATAAGAGTCGCTTCTGTCTTTTTCCTTAATAGATGAACTGAATTATTTGTTACTCCGTATATCCAAACGAACAATTTTCTTTCCCTTCCATCATTGGCCCGTGGCTTTTTTTTTTTGTTACACGAACGCGAAATTTGTGGCGTATTGGAAGAGTCTCGGGTGTGCAACCAAGCTAAATCAGAAAATTTACCGCTTTTCGAGCAAGAGAGCCAACGTGTCGGGAGGTACGGGGGGGGGGGGGGGANATTCGAAAGCAAGTGATGGAACGCGCCAGAAAAAAAAGGGCTGAGTCTTGGGGGAAAAAAAAGGGAAGATAGACAATGGATCTCGGTGCAGCATTTATACAGAGAGAGCAAAATCGAGCGTGTAGATAAGAGGGCAAAAGTTAAAACTTCTCTAAAACCGAGCGCCAAGTGACGCGCGCGCGACGTACAACCTGATTGGCTTCTTCCTTCTATACGTGACATTTGTTGTTGCCCTTCTTTCGGGCCAGCGACGAGCTTTTCTTTCTTTCTTCCCTTCGTATTTTTCGTATATTACTTCTTTTTTTTTTTATTTTACTCAAAATACTTATATAGCTTTTTTGGCTCATTGTTTTGCACACACGTGGTATAACTTCGGACGAAAAACTTGGACAATAGGTGATCCGCGGGGCCAAAAAATAGATGGCAAGTTACCCCATACGAAAAAAAATCTTACACGAACTGTACGTCGATTCGTGATTATAGAGCAAGCGCCATTTAGCGCAATGATAATCGTACCTTTCTTTTTCCCTGATAAAAAAAATAACATATTCCGCGCGCATCGGAACGTTATAAAACCAAACAAAACAAAAAGAAAGAGTCTCCGGCACGCATTTTTACTTTACTCTCGCGCGCGCGTATATCTTTCTCTCTTTGCGTGGCTCGCTTACAGCGTAGACGATCGAAGTTTGCATTAAAAATTCACGAAAAACAAGTTTATTATCGCGCGCATAAACCGGATCCTGCGCTGCAACAGTTTCGATCCCCCGATGCCTCTCTGCCTTTCAGATCCTGCTCGCGGTGTAGTGCACGCGCACGCATACACGCGGATTGCCCGAAATTTGCCGTGTATGCGTGCGCAAATAACGCATCTTGTTGTCGATATTTAGTAAAATTCTCTCTCTCCTCTCGTTTTTCCTGCGATGCAACAAAAATCCAACAAACACGTTGGACAAATAACGAGTTTCCTTGCGTCGATCGGCTCTTCGAACGAATCGATAAAATTCAGTAAAAAATTGCCTTTCGCCACACCGATCTTTTGCTGTGTTTTTTTGGCGCGTCATGTAAACAACGCGAAAAAAGCCATATCGACTCCTTTTTTTCTTCTTCTTCTTCTTCTAACGCATCTTGCATACCAGCATGGAATACAATTATTTGGCTAACCTCTTTCGAGGAGGTGCAGTTTAATGCCTCCGAAAGGGGAAGCTTAAAAGGCTTATTACATGTGCGCCAGTCGCGAGAGACAGAGATAATCTCGCGACAGATCGATTCGATGTTTAAACTGAAATAAAAGACGCGACGTTAACCTTAATTGCGGAGGACAAATGAGCCGTTGTTTAAACGACTAGACTGACGAAATTTTTTTTCGTTGCGATTTAGTTACTAATCCGCAGAGAGAGAAAGAGATTATTATTTCAGAAGTTGTTTGCATTTATGTCACGAACAAGAATTTGATTTTAATTTAAACAATTTAACGGTGTGGGCTCAAGTGTTCCCAGGATTTGCTCTTGGTAAATTTGCCGAACGATTTTGTTTTTGCAATAACGATGATGATGTGTTCGTGCGGCTTTCCATTATAAACAATTGAATAACGATCGAGAGAAAATCGCGAGCGCGAACTAAATCGAGCCTTGCATACACATTTCTCGATGCACAATGGAAAATCCATCCGTTCAAAACAACACACAGGTAGCGCAGACACATCCCGCCGCGCGCTAGAATGTGACTGAGTAAACAATCCGATTCGCATGAAAAAACATGCGCGTAATTATGGATAAATATCATTATCAGTGCTGCTGCTGCTGCTGCTGCTGTGTACCAAGGCACTCGATAAATATTGATTGAATAATAATAAATAAAATTTTGTTAAAAAAAGCAGTAAATCATGTGGGAAAATATTTTCGCTGTTTTTTTTGTATTATTCCTCGAGCCTCGATACATTTCCGACGTCGATGATCCATTGCGCTATTTGGGTTAAAATCGTCGCGCAAAGATCGGCACGATGTTTCGCGAAAAAAAAAAACATTAATAAAGGATTTTACGAGCCTCACGGCTGGCTGCACTCTCTGCAAATATATGCGGGGCGGGTAATTAACCGAGTCTTAAATATCTTTCGCACTTGTGCTCACACATCTCCGATATTATATTTATTATTGCCGAGCAAACGTCGGCGTATATATCGGCTTTATATAGCAAAATTACAACACTATATATGCCTTTTTGCGCCAAGCACGTGATCGCGTCAGCCGAATTGTTCCCTCGCGACGGCGGCATCAACGTACGAACACGTGCCGAACAATGATCTCGAGTCTCTCACTCTCGAGCGCTCGTATAACATAATAAAATTTCCACTCGGTACTTATTATACATATTTTTCGTACTTGGGCGCGCGATATTTTTATTCCCTCGTTATACAACGGTACATAGTGTTTAGTCGCACATTGCAGTTTTTTTTTAGCCTCCGCCTTATCAGAGCTCGCAGTTTCGATAAATATATGTACAAGGATCAACGCGCTCTGAGCACTCGAACTTTGGGTTAATATATTTTTTATTTTCGAGTCAGAGAGATAAGGATCGATAGATCTCTCTTAGCTCCGAGACACTCGACGAGATTGTTGTTGTTGTCGTTGTCTCTCCTCGCTCGTCTTTTTTTTATTTTATACATTCAATATCGTTCAAGTGCGGTGCACTCGCGGGGGCTTCGTTCGCGGAGAGACGGCGAATTTATCGATAGCAGATTACGGGCACTCGAGACCGTATTGGTCAATGTGAAAAATGTTTCGCGCGTGGTCCAGATAAGGTACTCGTCATTCGCGCGCGCGCGCGAGAAAGACGAATCGGTAATTCCAATTTTTCACTAATGTATGCATGTAAGAATAAATAAAGGAAAGAAATGCTCGAGTGGGGTCATCACGTTCGAAACTCGTGACCAGTATATATAGTAGTGAATAATATAGTTTAAAAACACTTCTTTGAAACGAGACGATGTCTTGTGATGTCGATTGATATCACGCTGTGGACCTCGATTTCTTTGAAATTGGAGCTTTTTCCACGCGTTGCACTCGAGAAATAGCACGGCAACAATCGCATATACACACTCTCGAATAATAATGCTTTTATCAGCTGCTGAATTATTTACGCAGGCTTATATATAGAATTTTATCAAGATTCTTTTTTATTATATAAAAAATTGTTTAATCGTGGTCGCAAATACGATTATCATCGACTTTGATTCGGTAATTATAAAGCGACATTATGCGTACGCAAGTGACATATCGATCGCGATACGAGGGCCCTTTTTACGAACGGTAAATTTTCTCAATAATTCAAGAAACTACGCCGCGAGTTTTTTCGTCGCTGCCCGCAACAACAATAATCGTATTCGTGACTTTGAGTCATAGCTACGCGACACATTAAAATCATGTCTCTAATACGTCAATGACTAAACTCGCTAAGAAGTTGTGTGAGCGGCCTTCGCGTATAATATGTATAAATTTCGTTCGTCGAATGTTTTGCTGAGCGCACAGGAAAATCCGATATTATTTGCTGAGGTATTATACACACAAATCCTGCGAGTATCGACGAATAGCCAGCCGCGATGTGTATAGCGCGAGATCATCGATTTTGCCGAGGAGCGAAGTAGAGAGAGATGGAAAGAGGAAAAAGGGACTAAGAGTATAATATAACAAACAAATAAATTTATCGGAATTTATCCTTACGCCTGAGTGTACGCACGTATGCACGTATATAATGAAAATGAAAAAAAAAAGAAAAGAAAAGGAAACGGCTCTTCGTTCCACCTCTTTTATGCAAAAGTTGCAATATGTACGTCTGTATGTACATGCACGATACACACAGGCCGCGTATACGCATATAGTAGTATAATATCGTTTCCACCTCCTTTCGCGGTACGTCGACGGCTTCTCTCTTTCTCGGTCTTTCTCGGCGATCTTTTACATGCATACATACATGCGTTCTGCTGCTGCTGCTGTTGCTGGCAGAAGGCAACATCATCATCATTTGTGTGCATGCATAATCGTCGTGTCCTCTCTCTCTGCGCGAGTGCGATAGTACCCTGTGCGGTTCTTCTTCTTCTTCGGCACCGAGGATGCGCGACAACGACGACACCAGCAGCAGCAGTAGCAACACAAGCGGACGGGGGTTTCGGTATTTACTCAAACGTCGAGTCGCGGATATATACGCACACACACACAGTCGCGCGTATAGTCATATGCCTCATAATAATACCTAAGTAGACGAGCTGCACTTGCTTAGTTGCTCGTCGACACTTGCCTTATAACAGTGAGAAAAGAGAGAGAGAGAAAGAGAGACTGAGTGAGAGACTTACGCGTGACACTGCGAGCGCGTATATTCCTTGATACATCGAGAGAGAAAAAAGAGGAGAGACCCAACGAGCTGTGTTTCACCTTTTTCTATATAATACAACCAAAAAAAGTGATCTCGTCCCATGAAGTGTTACCGCGTTTTTTTTTATAAATGAATCAGAAATAATCTAATTAATATATTCATCGATTTTTGCGACACTTGGCGCGAGCGCACCTTAATTTCTCGCCAGAGAAGAGCAGGACTTTTTTTCTGTGCGTGTGCTACTACGGACTCATTGAGTTGATATATAGTGTAGTTCAGAAGACGAACGAATTGTGAGTTTTGGTATTTTAACGATTCTTTACTTCATTCGCTGCATTATCGTTGATTTTGTGTGAAAATTTCAAGTGCCAGCCGATTTTTATTCGTCGTGGAATTTCCTATCACGTCCCACTGCTTTCTAATCCTCTCCAAATTATAGAGCACTCCGGATAACTTCGATTCATTAATTTTTTTCAAATTCCCTAAAATTATATTTATAGAACGAAATCGGGCGTGTTACGCGAAAATGTCAACCGCGAGTATGTGCCTAGTTATCTGTCAAGCTCGCTCGCTCGCGCGCGCGCGTCTATAAGTGCACCGATTTTCCTCCCAACGATCGCCGTATAAATTTTCACTCATTTCCATATTCCAAAAAAGTAGCAGCAGCACGCTTACTCGTCTTTTTTCTTTTTCCTTTTTTTATTCCTCGCGCGAACGATGCGTGTTGATTTACATAACGAGTTAGTAATAATTTACACACGGGCCCGCGATTCGGTATTTAAGTGTGTCTCTCTCTTTATGCGTGTGCACTTTGAGAGAGAGAGAGAGAGAGAGAGAGCAGAGCGTTTTCTGCCTGCCGCGAGAGATATTTTTATCGCGCGCGCGCAAAAATGTCACAAATCGGAGCGTACGTTGACATCGCGATCTCTCGTCAAGAGAGGCGCTACACACGTATAGATAATTCGTAAGTACGCGCACTTACACACGCACACACACAAGCTCGCGAGCGAACGAACGCAGGTATATTATGCAATTGTATTGACAGAAGATCTTCTTTTTTCTCTTTCTTACTTTTTTTAAATAAGCTCCGCGCGCAGACGCTCGACTCTCGTGAGGCCGCGAGGCGCACACGAGCGTCACGACGAATCGGCAGCTGCGTTATCTTTGAAATGAAGAAAATAAGTGTCTTCTTCTTCTCTTCGTTTCAATCTCTGCGATTCCTCGATATTCTCCTTCATCGAGCTTTGAAGTTTATTATCGTTCAATCGCGATCATTATAATATGAAAACTGGTTGAAACACGTTTACGAGCAAATAATAGCCGAGTCATTTTTTTTCTCTACCCAAACACACACACATCTCGTCATCCCGCACGAGTGTGCAGAGATGTTTATGCGACGATCGTCAAATGTCGTTGCTCTGATTTTTAACGCGTACGTGCCGAGTTCGGAACCAACGGCCTTGGAGCAATGTAATCGGGCACGCATATAAAAATGTCGAGTAATAAAAGCAGAAAATTATTACTCAATCGCTACGCACGGCTAGATCTTTCACCCCGATAAAAGTACATGATTTTTGGGTATTAGCATGGCTAATGAAAAAACAACACCTATACGCACTCGATCAATGATGGATTTCGTTTTTTATTACAGCGATCCGATCTAATCGCCGCGAAAAATCTGCCCCCGCTCAAGCTCGCGGCCTCGCGTGCGTACATAATATATCACGCATCGTTCAACGCAAAAAAGCTCCCAGTCGACGTCTCACTAATTTAACCAACGATCCTATTTCTTTGTCTTGCGCAGCGGACTCCGGTGCCACAGCCTACCTCAACTCAGCCATGGAGTCGTCGTCGCTGATCGTCGACTATCTCGTCTTCACCGTGTTCATCGCCGTGAGCTTCGTCATACCGCTGTGGGGCAAATTTCGGGCGCGCAAAAAAACCGAGACCAAGGCCGACTACGTGTTCGCCACGGGCTCGAGCGTGTCCATGGGCGCGATGATGCTGTCCATCGCCCGTGGCACCCTCGGGGTCCGATCGTTTCTCGGCTACCCGAGCGAGCTCTACTATCGGGGCAGCGCCATGTGGGAGACGCTGTACGGCATGGTGCTGGCCTATCCCATCGTCTGCTTCACCTTCGTGCCGGTCTACTACAGTCTAGGCATCACCTCGGTGTATCAGTATCTGGACATGAGGTAAGTGTACGATTTTTTGAAGTATATAGATTTTCCCAGCATTATCTCGACTTTCATTTTTACAACTACTTTGTTTTCGCCGATGTTAAAGTTACGAACGTACTACTACTATACATTCGCGAGTCATAAATTATTGTCATTATCGGTGTACTTGCGCACGCGTCACGTCGTAGAAAACTGTTAATCAATTTTACAAGCTTAATAATTTTTCACTCGAAACTCGAAGAGTACAAAGTATGATGCGCACGATGATGCACCGAGAGACAAAGAGAAGCAAAAAAAAAAAAAAAAAAACAATAGCTTCCTCACCGAGTTTTCGTACGTATTGTATTTTTAGAGCTTGCAAGCGTCGATCGAGTATTCTCTCTCTTACAAATTTTCGCGAAATAATTATTAGTCATATAGTCCCGCGCGTTAGTCATCGTCTACATACTATAATACTACTAGAGGTGCCATTTTCACACACATTTTCATGCAATAAAAAAAAAAAAGAAAAGAAAACAATTATTGCGTCAGTAAAAAAATTGTCCGTAATTCAATTGTCCGTAATGCAATTACAATTTTCGTATAATTATTATTTATCTAGTGCACGTACCGAATAATAACATGTTTGTTTTCCGCGCGAAACAATTTTCCTCCAGATTCAAATCGAAATTGGTCCGAAGACTGGCTAGCTTCACGTACGTCATCAGGAGCCTGCTCAACGTCTCGGTGACGGTGTTCACGCCCTGCGTGGCCCTCAAGACCGTCATCGGTCTGCCCTACTGGGCCAGCATCTGCGGGATAACGGCCATCTCCATCGTTTTTACACTAATGGTATGCTGTTATTACACTAATCGATTAAAAATCCGTCGCATTATATTCTCTAAAAAAAAAAAAAATGATGATCGCAGGGAGGCTTAAAAGCGGCTATCCTCTCGGACGTACTTCAAGGACTGACGATGATCGGAGTGTCGCTCGTGATAATCATTCACGGCACGATAGACGTCGGCGGAATCAGTACCGTCGTGAACATCACCCAGGAACGCGGCCGTCTCGAATTCTTCAAGTGAGTCGTCACACACGTGTTTTATCGTCAATTACATAATATAGATAGTTATCTTCATCTTTGTATATACTTATATCATGAATTATTTTTTTTAACGTTCAGCTTCAACATGGATCCGACGATACGAGTCAACACGGTCTCGGCTATCCTGGGCCAGCTCTTCATGAGCCTCTCGATCTTCGGCTGCCAGCAGAACTTCGTTCAGCGCTACTTCAGCATGGGCAGTCGGACGAAAGTCGTCAAGTGAGTGTCGCGCACTTTCAAACTCGAATTCGAACTCGATCATTGTTATTATTATTTTTTTTCTCTCTCATGTCTCCTACAGAACCATGATGGCCAACATCCCCGTGATCACCGTACTGTTCTCGCTCTCCTGGATCGTCGGCATGGTGATATTCGCCAACTACGCCGACTGCGACCCGCTGAGTCTCGGCTACACCTCCAAGTTCGACGAGATCGTGCCGTTCTACGTCGAGGACAAGTTCGTCTATCTGCCCGGTCTACTCGGTCTCGTCATGGCCACCCTCTTCAACAGCTCGCTCACCATCACCGTGTCCATACTCAACTCCCTCGCCACCGTCACCTTCGAGGACTTCCTCAGTCAGATCCCGGCGATGCACAATCTGCGCGACAATCAGCAGCTCAAGATCATCAAGTCGCTGGCCATAGTCTACGGTCTGCTCGTCATCGGCGTCAGTTTTCTCGTGGGCAAACTGCCCGGCGTCATCGAGTCGTCGATGCTGATGACCTCCGCGACGTCGGGTCCGCTTCTGGGCGCCTTTATTTTAGCCATGCTCGTGCCATGCGCCAATTGGAAGGGCGCCGCCGCTGGTATGATCTTCAGTCACGCCACGACCCTCTGGCTGACCTTCGGCCGGCTCAGTCTCGACATACCGGTGCAGCAGTTGCCGCTGTCGACGGCGGGCTGCAGCAACGACACGTTCTCGTCGCACATGACCAAGCCGCTGGACCTCGTGCCCAAGCAGTGGTCGAGCGCCACGCCCGATCATCTGTTCGTCGACGAGACACCCGAGTCCATACTCGACAACATCTACGGCATCACCTACATGTATTACGCCTTCATCGGCAGCTTATCCACGGTCATAGTCGGCATAATAGTGAGCCTGCTGACGGCCGACGCCAAGGAGGACGCCTACCAGGAGCATCTCCTGCATCCCTGCGTGCTGAAACTCTCGAGGATGTTCCCGGGCAAGCAGCGACTCTACGCGCCGGCCACGTGCGGAGGCGATGGGGCGGCGGGTGGCGGCGACAACAGCGCCGCCGGCAGCGACAACAACAACGTCAGCGCCTCGACCGGGATCAGCGACGACTCGTTCAAGGTCAACGGCGAGAAGCTCGGCAGCAACGGCGTCGGCGAGCACAGGGTCCAGATGGACATCAATTATCTGGAGAAGCTCGACGCCCTGAAGAAGGCCACCCTCGAGGTGACGAACGAAGTGCAAAACAACGGTACGAAGCTCTGAGAGCTGAGCAGCGGCTTTTCACGTGTATACCGATGTTTCGAACTTTTGAGACTGAGACTTTTCTTTATTTATTCATTCGTTTTTTTTTTAATTTTAAATCGTTGTTGTCCGAGAGAATATCGTGCGCGCGCGCGGCTGCATTAAATATAAGTAGATGTAATTGTGTCGAATGGAAGAGGTTCTTAGGACGATGTTGTTGTCAGTATTCGGTGATCGGTGACCACACAAAGCGAACGAAGCGAGCGGAAAAATTAATCAACGACTCGAGTGCCTGAATCGAGGGACTTTTTTTTTTAAATATGTGCATTGTTAATTAATCGTTGTTTAGTGCGTATCTTTTTAATGTATAGCAATCGTATATTAGCTTAAATCTTGGAAAAAAAAAACAAATCGAATACTGCGGTAGGATCTGATATATTCCTATGTGTATATTTAATTTATTAAAAAAAAATAATACTTATAATCATAAATCGAGCATATTATTCGAAATATGTAATCGAATACTCGCTGATAAGTACGACAAAAAAAAAAGAAAAGAAATGGAGGGTATATCGTGCGTATCCTTTGAATCGGTCTTTAGTCGAGGGCTGATTTTTTTTTAAATAATCAGCCGTTTTTAAAGAAAAATATCTTGGGTAAAAGGCTGCAAGTTTATAAATAATACACACCCTTTTTTATAAAAAAAAAATAAACCATAAACGTAGGAGTATGTATCTTAAAATGTATATTGTAAAAGTATTTGGAAAATATTTATATTTTATATACACGATTTATGTATAGAGTGCGAAGTACTGTGCGAGAGCGACTTTTAAATATAAATAATATTATAATAAGCGATACATGTTACGTAACATGTTTGAAAGAATAATCGACGTTTCGACGTGGATGATGATAGATGATTTTTGTTGTTGTTGTTGTTGTTGTTGTTTGTCATTTATAAAGTGCATTGTGATTTGCCGCGAATCGACTGGCGAGAGCCCTATACATTATTATCATTATTATAAATGTGTACAATTAAATGTTATTATCCGAATTCATTGTAAAAATGTCTTAAATAATCGTGTGTGTGCTCTAATCTCGAGAGCGACGTAGCAGTGCGTGTATACGTGTTTCCGATAATTTTTTTTTTTTTAATCGCTCTCCCGCCCAATGCGAAATAACGATGATGCGAAGAAAGAAAAAGAAAGGAGAGGAGTTATCGAGTAGATATCATTGATTATTATTAATTATTATTTTTTAATAGGCGTGTAGTTAAAAGAACTATATAATATAATAAATGTAGATAATTATTACTATTATTACCACGATCGTCATGTACAATGTACATGATTGCGTCGAGGTCGTCGAATTAAAACAAATTTTTGTTAGTAAAATCGATCGTGTCTACCACCACTCATTACGATCCTTTTCCAATATACTCTACATCTATATGTATATCCAACATTTATCATATCTATACAGCTGCTCGTGCGAAGGAAGAAGATTGGATCGCAGCGGAGTAGTAGTAGCAGTAGAGTTTCGAGGAACTATTCTGAATATTGTCTCTGCACATGACCCGAGTGATAGCTAGCTCGAGCTTCGAGGAGCTAATAGCCGAGGGAGAGTATCTATACATATACGAAGCAGGGGTCATACTGGATATAGAATCCAGAATTATGACGAGAATTCAATTATATTTCATTCGTGGATAGTGGCGGTGGTGAGTTTCTTTATGCGCCAGACAACGACGACGACGACGATCAACTCGAATGTATAAGATTTTATCGGATGACATATCCTTAATATTACGTATTGGGACAGAGAGATGACAATCCCTTTGACACACTTATATACTTTGTATATAAATAATATACGAACTTACGTGTTATCGAAACTTCTTAGTGGATCGAACGAGAGTCACTACCAAAAATCAGGACTTAACCTGCGATGAGTCGGTCGATGTGTGTAAGAAATAAAATCCAAGAAATGAAGCCCAAGAAATGAACGAGTAATTTTGATTTTTTAAAGGGTTTGCCGCGCCGTTTTTTATGTCGACCCGGCTTACACGCGCGCATGCTGTATACAAGTGTAGTCGCAGCAGCAGCACCACCACCAGTACCACAAACTTCAGCTTGTATATGTGTGTACACAGGTGAGGCCAGTCACTCGGAGTCTCGAGTTGTATACGATATATAGGCTGTCTCCGTGCCGCCGCCTGAGAAGATTATATACAGCAGTCGGCGTTGAATCGTCTGTGCTGCAGCGCGTGCGTGTATACCGAAAAAGATACATATCATCGTCATATAGTCATCCTTCGGCAGCGAACTGCAGTCCACGACCCGCATAGAGAAGTACGTATAGACAAAAACGCACCTAGCGATAAAGGCGATATCTCGTCCAGTTTCTTCGCTTCGTTCTTTCGTTTTTATGCGATATATAACAGTTCGAGTTCTTGTGTGCGTGTGTGAATTAACCCCCCGCGGCTCGGCGACGATGTCGTAGTATGCATGTATAGTTATACGCGCGGCATCGACGTTGTTTTTGAGGTTATTTCGCGCTGCTTCCTCGATGTCATCGTTGTACGTAGATTCGCGCGAAGAAGCTTTTCTCGTCGATTTTCTCGTGCTTTTTACGCATCGTGTCGATCATTCAAGACGGGTCGTTTACAAATTTGCTCACGAATGCCACGCAGAGAGTAAACTCGAGAAAACGCGTCATATGTAAAGCGAGCAAAATATAGGTCTGTGGTTCGTGTCTGTGTGTACTTATATATAGCTTCTGCTACGCGCACATATCGCTGCTTATTATACGTACGAGAGTCGTGTTTGTGTTTTTATAAAATGTACTGTTACGTTGGCCGTTAATTCCATGTTTACTTCTTCATATTTTTTTGCGATTTACGAACGAAATTATTAATTAATCATCGTCGTCGTCGATCATCATCGCCACACCGGTGGAATTTTATGCAATGTAATTGCGCCTCCTCGCGCGCTATCTAATCGTACGCAGTTCAACTCCGTTGAATAACATTATCGTTTCCCAGCATCGCTCTGCACAGCAGCAGCTCTTGTCTTTATCAATTTTTTTTCTTTTCTCCGTGTGTGCGTGTGTCTATACCCGTTCGACTGTCATTTACTTATGTATCGTAAGCATACAGGTAAGAAGATGATGAAAAAAAAACAAGCATTGACAACACTCCATAAGGAATCCCCGTGATATCGAGCCGGTACGATTGATTTTCTTTTTTACTAACTTCCTTTTCTCTCTTTTTGCCTTCTAGGTTAATCGCTTCGACCCAAGACAGATCCAGGGTGCTACTGTGGATTTGATATAACCTTTTTTTGAGAATCGCCGAAAGTCGCCTTGCGACACAATCGCTGCACAGCAATGGAGACTAGGTGAGTTTTTAGAAATTAATAATTTTTATAATCTCTTCTTGATTTCACCCACCTATACCTACCTACCTACCTACCTTCTTTCCCAGGCTTTTTTATTTTGTTGTTGCTCACACTGTCCACTTGATATTAAAAAAAAAAAGAACAGAAATATGAATACACATGGATAGCAGTTAAATGAGTCGAGAAAGATACGGCACGACGAGTTCGTATACCAGTTCGCGTTTGTTTATTGTCACAGAGCGCGCGCGGCACTCGACGCGCATCTTATCGTGTTTTTTTCTCTCTCGATGATTTTATTTATTTTTTTTTTTTATTTTTCGTCTGTTCACTCTCTCAGGCGCTCGAATGATTCGGCTCTCGAAAGCTACATCGATCCAATTCTAATGCGTCTGTGGGTGAAATGAAAAAAGAAATAATAATACCTTGGCCTCTGTGTAAATTTTTCACACGTCGCCGTTTTCACGGTAAAAATTAATCACTCGAGTACACAACGTGGTACTGATTCGACAATTTTCTGCTTAGTACCGACTAACGGTTGCAATGAGATCGGATGACTGTGCTCTTTCTGTACATATCCTCGTTACAAAATAAGACCGTTTTGACTTGTAATTTCCTTTCTACATTTGGTTTTTTCTAATGACTCTCTCTCTCCAGCATGTATTTTCTGCCTACTTTGCACTAATTAGCTTTTTTTTCTTTCTCTTCTAATTTATTGGCTGCGAGACTCAATCTAAATTATTTTTTCTTACCAAGCATTGTTTTTTTTATTTTTTTTCCTATTTCAGCCCGCCGTAGTGCCATTCTAATGCTATCGTAACTCTTATAAAAACCAAAAAAAAAAATCGTAAAACACAGCATACATTAGATATTAAAAAAAAAAACAAAACAAAACGACCATGACGGGAGGTGCGGGGCTCGCGATATTGTCTCTGGTCAGGTTAGACGCGAGACTCTTGCTAGCCACAGGATCACGCGGAAGTCGAGTGCTGCTGCCAAGAACGGGGGGTGGTGGTGGCGGCATTCCATCGAGCCGATCCTTCCATTTTCGTACACTGTCGCAACGGACCTCGCCGCTACTCGGCGATAGGCAGGCTCACTTTAGACTCTCAAGACTCTTGAGGAGCAACAGATTTTCCATGGCCAACGATTACTCAACGTACTGTTCACTGCTTTTTTTGTCGTAAACGTATTTTTATTTGTAGATTTTGCTTTTATCTTTCTTTCTTTCTTTCTTTCCTGCTTGTGTGTCGACTAGCGAAACTAAATCTTTTTTTTTTAAATTTTTTACTCTAGTTCAAGTATTCTCGTTTAGAATTTAGAGAGCCTCTCCACAATGCTATGTTGATTTTAAAAGGTATAATAATAATAATGCAACTCGAGCTTTTCATCGTCGATATAATAAACTAACCGGATCATCTATACTTTTTAAACGGTTGAATGGTGCGTGTCGAGATGTTTTTTTTTCCCCGTGCACGGCAGCAACAACCTCGGCGATACATAAAATTTCTCTCTCTCTCGTGCGCGCGCGACAAACAAAAGCGCAACAATTTATGCATGAAGTTGCAGAAAACAATGGATCGAGTGATTGTGTGTCGAGTTCATTCGACATTCCTCGTTCAACTGCTCTCTCTCTCTCTCTCTCTCTCTCACGGCTTGACTTCGAATAGCTTTGACGAAACAAAAAAGAAAAAACAAGAAAAAGTTTATCATAGCATTTTCCATTTTTGTACCAAGAAAAATTTTTCCCTGGAAAGTGATTTTCTCGAATCGATTTTCATCTCTTTGAAACATACAACGTTGTGTTTTTTTTTCTCGAAAAGTACCGTAATAGATTGGATAAATCCGAAAAATTGTTTTTCATTAAGAACTGTCAAACTACTTAACTCGCGTTATGGTTTCCAAAATTTATCAAAAAAAAAAAAGGTACATAAAACGGCAAAAGCTCTAACTACCCCCAGTGGATTGAATTAAAACTTTTTTACTCGGCCAATCGCGCGGACTTGTAATATTTCATCGTTGTAATACGCGAGGATTTAAAAAACTTTTCCTGGGTTACGTTGCTTTTTTCCATGCTCTCTGTCTTTCTTTCCTTCTTTTTTTTCGTTACAAATTGATCGCCGATTCGCCCCAACTCTTATTTCGACTTTTTTATTCTCTTCTCTCGTGCGAAAAATACATACGGGTGCGCGCGTGCGTGTGTGTGTAGTTTTTGATCCTTGACAACCTACATACATTTTTACTGCAGCGTATAATCCGACTCTTTTCCCACTTGGCTTTTCTTCCTTCCGCGTTCTCTTTCTCTTGCTGTTTTTTTTCGTGTTATCAACATCTTTTCCCGTTGACCTATGCCGCGAGAAAACGGCACCATGGAGATTTGCGCATTGTAACCGAACGAATGTATATAGATCCCGCGAGCGCGTAAAGAAAAGAGAAAAATTGATCCAGCGTCGTCGACGTGGCGCACGCATTGTATGCACACGTCCTCTCTCTCACTCACTCTCTTTTGCCCCGTTGTATTGATCTTTTTGAATTCAGTAAGTCGAGAAATACGCACGTTTGCGCTATACGACTGCACACACAAACTCGTTTTTTTTATACTTTTCCACTCTCGATCGTACGTATTATTATTGGCCATGTGTGCACTCACTCACCCACGCACACACACACATACACGTGAAATATATCCTCTCTCGCGAGTGGTCCATTTAACTTGACCGCCCAGAGCTCGCTCGCAGCTGTATATAAGCCATTCGTGCAACTCTCCGGGTTGCAACGTATTTATTTATTTTGCGAATTGCCTTTTTTTCTGCAACCCAGTGTGCAATGCAGCAGTTGCAGTTGCAAGATGATGAGTGTTTCGCGTGTGCATTGTTCCAAACCCGTCAAAGCGAGAGAGAGAGAGAGAGAGAGAGAGAGAGAGAGAAAGGCATTCTCCGAGTCGGATAAATTCCAACTTGGAATTGATAATTGTAGCAGCAACACACGGGGTTTTCGGGGGCGGTATGCGCGATATTACTTATTCTCAAAGTGGAATTTATTCAAAGGCTATTTCTGACTCAGTGTACGCATGCATTTTGTTTGCCTTTCGTGCTTTGTGTTTGCAGAAAAAAAGAATCGTTTGACCTTTTTTTGTCACTCTTTAGACGGTTATTCGTACTGATAAAAATTTCACAACGCCCACTAATTTTTACCCTATAAAACTGTTACACACATCTCTTATCCTAAGCTCCTCCGATCCTCCTAGTAGTAGCTACATCGCACTCCGATACGTAATGATCTTCGGTCTGATTTTTCATCCTTACTTTACGCAGGTACATCCCCACGGATTTGCTGGTGGAGACCAACGTCTGCAGCCCGGATTACGACGGTGTCGTGCTCGTGTCGGGCAAGCCGCCGGGCCAGGGCGAGGAGCCCGAGCCCTTCAAATCCGTCCTCTACTGCAGCGGCCAGCTCGACTCGGGTCTGTTCGACTGCGGCGCCGTGCTGCCCATCAATTTGCCGGCCAAGCGGCTCGTCTACAGCCCCACGGGCGCCATCAATCCGGACTACGACGACGTGCGCGTGTTCAAGGAGGCCGCCGCCAAAGGTATCAAACGGTAAGTCGGACGGAGGGAGGCGCACGTATTATTATTATTATCAAAAAAGCAATGGAGAAACTTTTACAAGCGCGTCAACTTTGTTTATATCGCCTACACTGCACAACGTCAACTTATATATTCCGCGTAAAGCGATATAAACAAGGCGCGCGTTTTCCCTCGCCGCGCTCTTATATGGTAATAAAAAAAAAAAAAAGAAAGAACGAGTATACGTATGTATTATCGGCGTGGCGGGGGTGCATAATGCAGAAATAACAATGGAAAGTCACGCGCGGCACATAGAGCAGCAGCAGCAGCAGCAGCCAGGGAGAAGAAGGGAATTACCTACGTATATATACACCACATATATGGGGGGCAAAGAAGATACCGCAAATAAAAAGTAAACAAAAAATCGCATCACGCGGGAAAAGCAGCAGCGGCGGTAACGACAGCTTATCTCGCTCTGCGGCGCGGCAGGTAGTAGAGAATATATACTCACACGCGTGTGCGAGGCGTGACGGATTTCTCCTTTCCGCCGAGGCAATATATACCCTATACCGACGCGAACTTTCCGCTTTGATCGTGTGCGTTAGTCGTTATATATATACGCGTATATAATACGTATACGTAAACAGGGCGTGCAAGCTCGCAAGCTCTACACACACAAGCATAGAATTGCGCGTATCTATGTATGTAAGCGTGTGTGTGCATTAAATTTCGCTACTGTACGTGTACCCGCACCGACCGCGTCTTCTTCTTCTTCTTCTTCTTGCGGGTAAAAGGGGATGCGATGCGATTCAAAGTCTCGCGGGCTATCCTATATATTATATACATGTATCGTGTATTTCGTGCGTCGAGAGGGTTTTCTTATACATACATCGTCGTGTATTTATACACGTGAATCACGAGATAATGGAATTTTCTTATATACTCGGTACTCTCGAGAAAAGCTCGTGGCGCTGCTGCTGCTGCTGCGCTGAGTAATTTTCGCGCGCGCGCGAAAGAAAAGCGATCGTTTTTCGTTGCATGGATAACGGGCACGGATGCATACGCACGCGCAAATATAATGTCGTGTACAAACTGCAAGTATTTATACGTGCGAGTGTGTATTCGAGATTTCGAGGGAAAATTCGAGCGCGTGTTATTGCATGACTAATCCAGCATCGATGTGTACGATAATTCATGGGATAAGTATACACTCGTCGCGCGACGGAGGGCTGTACCGCCGTGATATACTCATTGTTAAAATATGTGTCGAGCTTATACATACGTACGTGGAAAAATATTGATATCGCCCGAAATTTCGGGGCGTGATTCACGTATACGCGTGCGTACCCTCCGATATTATTCGACGTTTGCGTCCAAGTTTATATGCATAGCCTCGCTGCTGTCTATGATTCTTCGATTTTTCGTATTTTCTATTTTTTTATTATTTCGTTCGGCCGTCTATTTTCGTTATAATCAAACGCGATTCTAACGCGACGCGAGGGGTGCAGAACAAAAAAAATTGTTTGAACTCACGGTCGAACGAGCGTGCAAATGTATACAGAATATATGTCAGTCAGTAATACAGTAGTATGATTTTTATTCGAAAATTAATCACTCCAACGAAGCGAAGCAACCAACAACTGCGCAAGCTCCGGAAAGGACAATCGTGCCGCAATCACGAGGAGAGCTGCGTTATTTTCTCATTTGTACATAACGCGCCTAAGTTTTTTCTTCTCTCCTTTTCTCATTGCAGAGCTCTGAAAGCAGGTGTGAAATGTCCGCTGCTCGTGCTGCTGCCCGACTCGCGCTTCGAGAATGTGGAATTAGTTACTCTGCTCGGCGCCCTCGAGGCTCTCTACGTGGTAAGTAAAATCTCTCACTCGCTCTCATTTTCTCTCTTAGCTTTTTACTCTTGTTGCTCTTTCCTCCGTGAAGTAGTTGTAGTAGATACCCGAAATCTTGTGCGGTAACTGCAATTTTCTCTCTGGCATTAAACTGTTGTCTCTCTCTCTCTACTCTGCTCTGTGTGTATGTTCCGCGCGTCGACGCGTGCAATGCAATCACTGCCACACGCTATATACCGGGGGCGGCAAAGTAATACTTTCGAGAGACATCGTCCTTCTTGTGCCCTCGTGCTATTTTCTTTTTTTCTTTTCGTTGTTTTTACTCGGGTGAAAATTGCCACTTGGAGTCGCAGACGAACACGCCCACGTCAGGGATGACTAAATTACTTACATCATCGCGTCGAGTTCTTACCAGAGATAAAAAGAAAGACATAGAGAGAGATTGCAAAAGTACATTCACCCATTCCGGACCACGACATTAACGAAAATTCCCAACGTACACACATACTTGTCATCGATAATATAAAGAAAAGGCAAGGATAAGAGGAGGAAATAACTAAAAGGCCAAGGGTCGTAACGGGGGTGAGCTTATATAATAGCACGTTTGACCGGCTAAATTTTGTCGAACGAGACACTAATCAAATACCGTCATAGAGGAACTTTTTGCCTCTCTCTCTCTATCTCGCTGTATCATCACCACGAGCCTCCGAATATTTTTCCCCTCCTCCTCGAAGCAGCGCAGAGCTCCGCACAACCTCATACACTCGGCTCGTTTGATCGATTTATCGGTGCCGTATTATGTACACGTTATGCACACTCCACATACTCGCATATACACACCGTGCCTCCTGCGAATTTTGCCGAAAACTTTGTCTTCCGTTATGTAAGCACACTATACACACGCGCGAATGGCACGTACAGCATCGGATGATATACATAAACGATGTGTACAACGAGGCATGTCCGCGTAGCGAGGCATTTAATTTCTTTCTTCTTCCGGTGGGGAGAGGGATTATACGCGCGTATATAATGCCAGAGGAAGAGAGGTACCGACCTAATTAGCGAAATTTCACGGGCCTTCTTTTGCTTCTACGGAGTGTGTACTGCAGTAGCAGTAGCAGCAGCAGTCTCGATGCCTGAGAGGCAACCGGATAGATATTCGGCACTCTTGAGATGCTTAGCATCGATTGAATTCTCGACTTGCCCTCGGCTGCTTCTACTTGGGATGAGTATGATGTACGAGAGAACGAGCTAGAGGCGGACTTGCGTTGCGTTGTTCGCTGTATGTATGTACGAAGGGGGGGCCGTTGTTGTTGTTCACTTTCAACTGGTGGTGATTGACACAAAAATCGAAACGCGTAAACATTTTCTCGGCAGCGCTGCAGAATATATTTCGAGGTTGAAAAAAGAAAAAAATATACCTATAGAGATGACTCGCGCTGAAAGAAGAAAATACCGAATTTTCCTCTTTACTTTTCTTTTTCTCTCTTTTTTTTTTTTTATTCCGATTTTCGACGCCCTTTCAGGCCCTCGCAAGCTGAAGTCTACCGCTGCTGCTCGCTGCACACACAAAAAAGCGCGCAAGCAGAATTTTAAAGGCTCCGCGCGCCGCACCACCCGAGAGCACCGAGGAAAGGATTTGAATTCGGAAAGCGAAGGCCTGACAAATAGTAACGGACGTCTGGGTGTTGGTGTGTCTGTGTGTGTGTGTTCTTTGTAAAAGATAGCGCGCGCGAGGGCATGTCATTCAGTTTGAAAAAGTCGAATCACACTTATTCGTCTAGCTCTAGATCCAACTCTGTGTGTGTCTCGTATGTATAGCTAACAGATGGTGCTGTTTTCAAACACCCAAGCGCCATTGATTTACGCCTCTATATACGTATAACACACGTAGGGTATACGTGTCGCGCTGCGCTGCACTTTGCAGAGAGAGAGAGAGGAAAACTTTTAGCCCGCAGTAGTGCAAAACTCCGGAGGGCCAAGATCGAATAAGAGAGCGAGCGAGAGAGAATATGGAATGTTCAAAAGATTGGACCGAGCGAGCGAGCGAGGACAGGATTGATTATTTTTGGCCCTCGCGCGCACAGAGAGGACTCGGTTGAAAAAAATCCCTTACGACTTTTATTTGGAAAATTGACGTGCTATATTTTTTCTACTACTGCTCCCAACCGTGGGTACTTTTTTTTTTCAATTTTTTTTTTATATCCGCTGCTGTGCTGCGCGCGAGTGACTAAACTGAAATTTCGACTAATTGCCATATCCCGCACCGAAATTCGTGCGCACGCGGGTAAAATGTGCAAACTCCCGGCAACTTGTCCTACGGTTAGCAACGCGCGGGCCAAAACTTTTGACGATTCAAACTCTCTCTCTCTCTTTTCTCTGTGTCGCTTTATTAAATGCACACGCGCGTATACCTATATAACGTACAGCTATGGCGAATGCGGAATGTATATATACGCAGGAAAAGAGCGAGAGTACACATAATTCGAATCATCCCCCGTAATCTACTTAAAATAAGCAACTTTCCAAATGTTATCTCTCTCTCTTTCTCTCTCTTCCTCTCTATCTCTGTGTATATAATGAATATATAAAGCTCTGATGTCTCATGGCTCGTCCTCTCTCTTTTTGCCTCTCTTTTCCATGCTGCTGCTGCTTGTGCTGCTGCTGTAGCCCCTGGAGGTACGCGAAATCAGTGCGGAACGCACCCACAAGGCCAAGCGCCTCGGTGTCTGGAGCCCGATCTGCGCCACGAAGCTTCAGGGCGTCGTGAAGCTCGCCCAGGCCCTCGAGAGCGGCAGATACGTCGCTCGTGACATCGGTGAGTAAATATATATGTCTACTATGTACAAATCAAATATTGCGTTTATATATATTGCGAGATTCGCTTTTGAGACCAGGTGTGTGTGTGTGTGTTGGTTTATTTATTGCATTTTGCTCACTTTGTGTGTACGTTTAAATGTAATTCGAAAACTTTTATATCGGCAATTTCGTAGCAAATAATCGATCGAACGTTTCATCTCTCTCTCTTCGCGTGTTTTAAAAGCACAACGACGCGAGATCTATCTAAGTGCAGTTTCTGGATTTACCCCGGTAGAGCAGCAGCAGCGGCAGCAGTCGCGAGAAATACGAGAAAATCGTTTTGTCAAAGTCGCGCGGCAGCGGCGGCGCTTATCGCTCTCTGCGGGGAGAACCGCGTCGTATAAAGCTGCAGCTGCAGTTCAGCACTGCCACGACGAAAGCTTTTCGTATACGACGTTTTATCGTGCACAGAGAGAGGAGAGTGTACGAGCGAGAATAACCCGACCGAAAATGACGAAACGTCGGAAAAAATGTTCGATCTATACGATTAATAATTTTCTTCGCGTGCTGCTCTTTTCTCTCTGCTTTTCATCAGCGATTGCGTGGATGTGCGCGCGCGTAAAACCCGTGCACGGCAGAGACTGAATTAATCGTGTTCGCTCGGTGTGTCAAATTTTTTTTCAGCTTCTCATAACATGACTATCGATTAAACGTCTGTTGCGGTGTGTATGTGTGTACGTAAGGGGGAAAAAATGATTAATAGTGCGCGGCAGTATGAATGAAATGAAATTAATGATCGATCTTAAATAATGCCGTCTTTGGGGCTAAAAATGAATGGTTCTTGCTGCCTGCACGGCAAAATCACCTTAGCGCAGCGAATAAATTGCCGATTCCGACATTTTTTCAAAAAAAAAAAAAAACTACTCTTTATCTCGCAGGTGGCGCCGACCCGGAGCGCATGGCCGCGCCCCGCGTCGAGGAGTACCTGCGCCAGCTCTTCCACGGCTCGCGCGTCTCCGTCCAGTCGATCTGCGACGAGCCGACCCTGCTCAAGGAGTACCCGTGCCTGGCCGCGGTCAATCGTGGCGCTTCCGTCACGCCCCGGCATCAGGCGCGTGTCATCTTTCTGACCTACGAGCCGCAGGACCCGAGCTGCGTCCTCGAGACTGTGATGCTCGTGGGCAAGGGCGTGACCTACGACACGGGCGGCAACGACATCAAGACCGACGGCCACATGGCCGGCATGAGCCGCGACAAGTGCGGCGCCGCCGCCGCGGCTGGTTTCATGCAGGTAATGGATTTATTTTTCTGTGCGCGCGCGCGCGCGCCTTGTTGTGTTGTGTGCGGAAATTCGGGGTAAAAAGTGGGTAAACGAATTTTCGTGTTAAAAATATCACGAGGGAAATATAGAATTACGTTTTCATTCTCTCGCGTATATGAAAACTAAAAAATTTAATTATCCCAGAACATTTTTTTTTAAAAAATCCGCACACGAAAACAATTACAACGCATGCATTTTTATACTTTTTTATTTTCACGTCGCTAACGTTATTTAAAAAAAAAAAAAAAACAAACAGGTCGTGAACGTGCTGCAGCCGCCCACCGTCAAGGTGGTGGTGGCCCTGGGCGTGGTGCGCAACAGCTGCGGCGAGAACGCCTACGTCTCGGACGAGGTGATCACCGCGCGCTCCGGCGCTAGGGTGCGCGTCACCAACACCGACGCGGAGGGCCGCATGGCCATGGCCGACATCCTCTACCACGTCAAGGAGATGGCCCTGTGCTCGGTGAATCCGCACATCTTCACCATCGCCACTCTGACCGGACACGCCGTCAAGTCGGCCGGCAGCGGATACTCGGTAATATATATATCATCACAACGTTATATAATAATAACAAAGTTTCGACTCTTTTCTCATTTTGGCCTTCTTACGCGGTAGTTTTTTCTTTCTCCCTCTTCTTTTTTGAAGTTTGTCAAACTCAAACAATAATTAAATTCTTGTCCGATTTTTTCTCCCTCTGCATCTGCTTCTCTCCGTCTCTCTCCCTCATGGAAATTTTTAATTGCTTCTGAGCCGCTTCTCGTTCGACTCGCCGTTTTTTTTTTCATCTTCTCCTATATACGCGTACGTCGAATCCACGCGCGCGTTTATACGAAATCGACAGAAAGCTTCGGCATGAGCTTTCCCCCCGAAATCGCGAAGAATCTTTCTCGTTAGAGACCCCGGCAGCGCGTCGTCGTCGCTTATATAGACACACGCTCTCGTCCGGGGGCTTGAAATTTTCTTCTCCAGCTTATATACGAGGAGAACACAGAGAGAGAGAGAAGCAGATGATTAGCAGAAAAAGTTTCCAAAGTAGCGAGTGAGAGGGTATAGACGTCATCGCGGGATGGTGGCGCGCGCGCGTTTCAGCGTAAAAGAGTGAGTGAGCGAGCGAGCGAGAGACCGACTGAAAGATCGCTCGGCTGCAACCTCTTTCGCTACTTTTAATAATGGCTCGCGATATTTCATTTCCTTCCCGTTCTCTCTTCTCGTTCTCTCTCTCTTTTTTACTTTTTTTTTCTCTATTTGCCGGAGTTTAATCATCTCTGGGACAAATGCCCTTAATTCCTTTCCTCTTTCCCGACACTTTTTATCCGTTTAACTTGTACATTCATCCTCTCTCTCTCTGCTGCTGCTACTGCTGTAGTTGGGGCTTCTCTCTACACATGTAGCCCATCAACCTACTACCTAATTGAAATTGAGCAAATTAATCCCCCACTCGATGGCGACAAGAATCGATTCTTTCCCCCCAACGCGCATACTATGTATATAACACCGTGAGATTGACCGATGACACTTGTCTCTTTCTCTCTACCGCAGATCGCCATGGACAACTCGGTGGCCCGATCGATATCCAACGCCTACAAGCTGCAGGCCTGCGGCGAGGTGATGGGCGACCCGTTCGAGGTCTCGGTGCTGCGCAAGGACGACTTCACGAACTACAAGGGCAAGTGCGAGGGCGACGACGTGCTGCAGACTCAGGGCCGCGGCGCCAGCACCGCCGGACAGCGCGGCCACCAGGGCGCCTGCGCCTTCCTCGTCCTCGCCTCCGGACTCGACAAGGTAATTGATCGAATTTATTTACGAGTTTCGTTTGGTCATTTTGATTTATTCGATGGCTATTTGTCGAAGAGCTTTGAGCTTCCACACACCTGTATATAATACCTTTTTCCCGCACGAACAGCGGAGCAGTGTACCCCCTTGTGCGATGTGTATTTATATTTATACACGGAAAACAAGAGAAATCTATCGTTTCAAGCTCGCGGCTCTCTCCCTCTCTTTAGCGCAATAATTATTTGTGCATCGATTAAAATGGGATTTTTAAGCGCGAACGCCGCCGCTTACAGCAACACGAGTGTACAACGACGAACTCGCGCACTCGTGTAATAAATAATCCGTTCGAACTCGCGAAGGGCGAGAGGCGCAACACACGGTATTTAATAGCTCTCCGCGAAAGGGGGCAATTAAACGTTTCTCTCGGCTCGGATGCGCGATGATTGTAAACTCGATCGATTTTATACATCCTCTACTCAGGATTTTATACCTTTTTCGGAGTCGGTACTCGTCGACGTTGACAAGATACAGAGCTGCTTATCGCTTGTATACCGTAATGGCCTTTTGGGCCACGAGAGGCGCGCGACGCTTTAATTTCTATTTTCAACATCGTTGTCGCGTGCTGCTGTTGTATGCGATGAATTTCGGCCGCCGACATTGTTTGCGCTTGTCTCGCTCTACGTAATAACACAACAAACAATCCACGCGCTGCTGCTGCTGTCACCGATGGTAATACACGTGTTACTCTCGCGCCTGGCCGGGAAAAGGGGGCTATAATATATCCGACAAGCGCCCCCGTCTTTTCGCGCGCGAGATTTTCGTAATTAAATCTCTCTTCTTCTTTCGTCTTCTTTTTTTTTTTGTAAGTATAATCAATCATTAAAACGCAACACGCGAGAGATATTTACGCGAGAAACAATAAGTCTTTTTTGCGCGCGCGAGCTTGCAAGCTCGAGGAGCAGCAGCAGCAGCAGCAGCAGCTTCCCCCGAAAACTCACGGAACTTTTTCCATTTTTCTTCGCTCCACTTATTACTTTTAACTTGAGGGGGGCACCCCAGCGCAGCAGCAGCAGCATGGCTCGCTGGATCGGAGCTTTCACACACACACACACAATCTTTTTTCTCGGTCCGCGGAGCTTTTCCTCCTCCTCCCGCTCCGAAGCTTTCGCGTAGAGTAAGAAGGCTCGCGCTCGAGATGATGCATGGGCTACCACTGCTACTGCAGCTCTTCTCTCTACTCCCAGGATGTAAGAGTTGGAAGAGTTGTAAGCGTAGGACGACGACGACGACGACTCTTCGTCGCGCATATATATCGCGCGCATTACTTCGAATTTACGTCGGGTTACGAGAAAATCTCGCTATGCGCACGAGCAGCGGCAATTTTTTTTAAAGCCAAAGAATTACTTTTTGGTGATATACTGCACGACTTGACGGATATCGCCGTTCACAAATTGGATCTCGGCTAAGTGTTACGGTAAATCCTGATTCTCCTTCGGGACTCAAGCTCTGCTGAAATCCATCTCTCCCGTCTCCGTCCTCGAATTCCAGCTTATTATTTTTTTTTTACGCAGTAACAGGAGTAAAACTTCTTTTTTTTTTTTAATTACTTTCCGCAGCACGGCAAAGCGTCCGAGAAGCCACTGAGGTACAGTCACTTGGACATCGCGGCGAGCGCGGGCGATCTGCCCGACGCGCCGACCGGCGCACCGATCTTGGCCTTGGCCAATCGTTTCCTCACCAACGAATTCAAGGCTTTGAAAACCGAGGAATAAATAATAAAAATGATAAAAAAAAACAGAAAAGAAATACAGTTAAAGTCCATTTGTTATTGAATATATTTTAATATTTCACTTGAATAAAGTTTTGTTCATAAAAAAAAAAACATTATGATGATCTTTGAGAACCTTACCCACTCCCAACTCCCTCATTTGTTCCTCCTTTCGCAGCACGGCCTGTACAGCTGCGCGCCGATCAAGTACACGCACATCGACATGGCCGGCCAGGCGCTCTACCCGCAGTGCAGCAAGCCCTACGAGGGCAGCCCCGTGCTCGGTCTGGCCTACTGCTGCCTCATCCAGGGCAAGTGCCTGACCGTCAGCCAGACCAAGACCGCCTCGACCAAGATCCTCTGCAAGCCGGTGACGTGCTCGCCCTCGACCACGGCTCGACCTTGCCGTACCGACAACAACAGTAATGAGAAATCGTCGTGCGAGGGTAGCCAAGAGTGTCGCTTGGAGGTTTACGCGGCTTCGGAAAGTTGTTAGAAAAAAAAACACAACGAATCGAAACGACGTAAGAGAAAAGATTATGATTGTTTTTTTTTTAATTAAAAACATGATGTCTGTTCCGATGCAGCGATATTACGTTTTATATTGAAATGGCATTTTTCTCTCCTTTACCTTTAGTTCGGCGCGTGACCGACAACACATGCCATGTGCAATGAACATCGTTCCATTTCCAATTTGTGCGCGAGTTCTTCCCTGCGATTGATGCGCTCCAGTCACGAATGCCTCCGCGTAATGACAGCTACTTCGAAATTTAGTCCTTGTTTACCCGCAGCCACGAATATATCGCTCGCTGTCTCCTTGATGATGACTTTTTTTTCTTTTAAACGATGATGAAATGCCTCGTTTTGCGGTTGACCTTTGAAATTCAGAGACTGTGATCGATAGATTTATTTTTGTAAAGTTTTCAAAGCATTTCGATGTGGTAGAGAAAAACAATTCAAAGTTCATTATTTCAAAGACTTTCTACGTTGTTACACGAAAATACATTGACCTCGAGTCTTTTCTTATAATTATTATATTACATTTCTCTTATTTATTCATAGCTTTAAGTATTCGATTTTAATCGATTCGAATTTTTCTTACCAACTGGGCTCACAAAGTAACTACATGAACCTCAATTGGTACGAATCGGTTGGTAAGGTCGATTCATGTTTAGCCAACGAACAATTACACGAATATAAGTGGATTTAGTGGCATTATTAAATTTAAACAATTAAAAGCTGCTGGTGGTTGATTTTTTAAAGACAATACAATACAATTAAAGCTCTTAAATATAACGATTCAAAAATGCGTTATTTTACTTTTGATAACACACTGTTGGTAATGTAGAAATTTCGATGGTAAAAATGCGACCTACTTACTTATATCTGATCATGATAACAGCGTTACTCTTGAACATTTTCGAAATTCGTTTTTCTTTCAATATGAAGATCGAAAATTAGTTTAAGTTATTGAAATGATAGTTAATTGTTCTATCTTTTTGTTATACCGCCATGTGTAATACCTTTGATTATTTCTTGGATTAAGGACTCGAACAGTCGAAGTGCAAAAAGCAAAGAAAAAATCGACTATCATCATCAAGAACGACTGTGAATTGGGCCTATGTTAATAAGTAACCTTGAAGTTTCTCGAAAAAACGATATAAGCTTTTAGGTAAGTTTAGTTTAGGGGCATACAGAATAAAAATAGCATCTAAGTGCATCATAGATCTGATTCTTTGCACCCTGTCTGATTAAACAACCCAATCATTGAATTATTTTTTCTCCAAGCTTCCACCGAATCGACCAGAAACATCGCGAACCGACAATATACACCCGAAGCGCATAGTCTTATATCACCAAATGGTGCATAATAAAATTTACCTTGCGCGAGTACGTTAAACCTCCCATTTACGTAAGGATAAAGCCAGTGTACGGTTTATTCAATCATTTTTTTCTCTCCATCCTCTATTATATCTTGAATTTGAACAATTTTGAGGTCAACAGGAAAAAGAAAGTCACACCGGCGAACTTGTCGCTTCGAGTTCAAGGAAACGATTAATAACAATATCATAGGCGACGTTGTATAATTGAACGATCGCGTGTGTCTCATCGATGCATAATGCTGTATATGAAATAAAAAACGAATTTGCATTCGGTAAATCGAAATTGATGCGGATTTTCGTATCGATTTCGGTTGACGTGTGTGTGCGTGCGAGGGACACTTGACGTAGAAATGTGCCACGACACACTGGATGCATCCATTCGTGAAATCTATCGCGATGTACTATACAAAAGTTCATCACCCAATGTCTTTCTCGCTCTCTCTCTCTCTCTCTCTCTCTCTCTCTCTATTGTCGACCATGTGTGCGTGCGAGCGCATAGGTTGACATTTCCACGCCACAGCGCAAAAAAAAACCAACATCTGCCTATTAAATCGCTTTCTTTTGCAGTATCACCTTTTATATAATACGCATAGCACAATGAGCCTCTCGGCAAGTAATACCTTCCGATGTATATAGCGATGTCAGTTCGACGTCAAGACAGAAAGAGAGAGAGATACGCATTTTCTCTCCAATATATATATATAAGAGAGAGACGTGCAATCGATCGTTAAGTATATAAAAATCAAAAACTCGCCACATGCAACACAGTAGCCCCTCTAAAAAAGAAACAAAAGATCGAGTTTCGATTTCGGCCGATGTGCTGCGTCCGTCCCCACTTCCTGCGTGCCGGACACGCGCTGGTCAATCTAGATACGTGCGTATTTTTTTTCCATATACGCATATATACGTATGTATATATAACATGTAGGCTCGCTCGGGGGCGCAAAAAACTCACGCGTAGGTAGCACATACCGAAAATCTGGAAAAAAGGCCATCCGCCCGCGCGCGCGCGCCTCGTCGTGTGCAGCGCTTCGCTCTCTCTCTTCGTCTTTTTTTTCTTCTTCTTCTCTCCTCTTCATCGGTCGCGTGCGGTGTATTAAGTATCCTATACGCAGACACATACATCAGGCGCTTGTGTTTGTGTGCGAGGGAGGCCAAGACACCGACCTTTTTCCGAATAATCGGTCCGAACGAGCTAAGCGCGCGATCGCCTCTACTTATACACATAGACATACCGCCGGAAATGCCAATGAGGGTGGTTGAGAGAATTAGGGATAACGCGTACAAAAATCTCTACGCGATGAATCAGAGAGTTGATATTTTACTGCTATGGCCGGCTGCAATTATGTGTGTGTGTGCGCGCTAAGATATCTACGATACAGCAGCAGCAGTCATGCAGCTAGTGAGGATATGTTGTAACCCAAGCACTTTCGTATACGCAGATGGAATGTATGTATGTGGATACCGATTTACTCTGTCCAGCTGAAAATTCGTAACGGTGAATTTTCGAGACATCGTGCATTTTTCGTTGCATTTTCGTTGTATTTTCAATTTACTTTTGGCATTATTAATTTATTATACTCTATAAAAAAATGATGCGAAGCTGTTTTAAATTCGCATTGATACGAGCAAAGGAATCAATCATCTTGTCTTATTACGATTGCAGCTCAACGCAAAATATGAAGGGTGCACGGCGATATATTATGAAGATTGATTTGAAACAAGCAGTATGGTTTCTTTGCCACAAAAATATGTATTGTTTTATTATCGAAATTGACAATGCTTTCAAGTTCAAGCTATTTTCAGTAACATAATATTGGAGTTCATAATATCGTGTCAAACATACACGTCAGGGCTTTTGACTCTATTTAACATAGACATTTTATAAATTTATTCGGTCGTTGTATGTGAGCGATGCGCCACACCTAGGTGGTTTTCGAGATTTCTTTTTCGTCCGAATATCTTTCCGCACAACTTGCAAGCATGTTCGATACTATTATGTGACGATTTGACATGTTTATGTAAACCAGATCGATTGGTGTATCTTTTTTCACAAAAATCACATCCGTAGGTCACACCATTATGTATTGCATTGACGTGGACTCGAAGAGTACTCTTACGTGTAAATATCTTTTTGCATATATCGCACGCGTGAGTAATTTTATTATGCACTGAATCTATGTGTTGTTGGAGATCACCCTTTGTCAGGTATTTCTTTTCGCATACATCACATTTGTACTTTTTCTGACCATTGTGCATATCTACATGAATTTTGAGACTAACTTTATGTTTGAATGTCTTTTTGCATATTTCACATGCGTGAGTAATGTTATTATGCACCGAATCAATGTGTATTTGGAGATTCTTCTTTTGCGTGAATTTCTTTCCGCATATTTCGCATGCGTGAGTGATTTTATTATGCACTGAATCGATGTGTACTTTGAGAGACTTTTTGTGGGCATATGTCTTCCCGCATATATCGCAAGTGTGGGTGATACGATCATGTGTCGAGTCGATGTGTTTTTTGCTTCCGCATTCATAGATTAACTTTTTTTCAACTCTTCTGTTTTGGTTGGGCTCGCTGAGTCCATTTGTTGGATCTTCGTCGAAAGATTCTTTTTTTACTACATCTGCAGTTTCTACTTTAATCATATTAAGAGTATGATAATCGTAGCAATACTTTATGCCTTGCAAGTAATTTTGAGAATGATCCTCCATTTTCTTGACTGCTAGTAAATTCAAGATAGGCTTCTGTTCTCTGCATTCCAATTCGATTCGCAGGTCGGCAACTTCATTTTCTTGATTTCCGTCACATTTTCGAAGCGCTTGAGTCTATAATAAAATTTAATTTATGTAAAAATATTTATTTAGAAAACTAAAATGCCATGGTCCCATAAAATTTTCAACACTTACTGAATTTTCCCGCAGATGCCTCAAGGATTGAAAATCTCTAGCAGCTGGCGTCTCGTCAATTACTTCATAATCAATCTCATTGAAAGACTCTTCACAAGGCTCTTTTTTCACTCTAAAAAATTTTCAGTGAGATTAAGGATTATGTTGAAATATTTTCATTCTTTCATTTTCATACAATAAAATTTACCTGACACTGTATAAACCACTTGGCTCCATCATTCTCAAATAATATTTTGTGAACGACTAATCTTTCTGTACAAGTAATGTTACGCGCCAAGCGAACTCCAGTTCCATAATATTTACATATCGATAAGTAGGGGAAACTCATGCGAACAGAGTGTATACAATTGACGAGGTAAATTGATTGATCTCGTTCGTGAATAATAATCATCATTAAATAAATAATATTTTACGGCAAAAAACTTAAATTTTCTTAAATTATCCTTCCAAGATAGAGCTAGTGCCATAAAAAATTGTACGAGCTATATTATGGACTTCACTTCGAAATGAAGTTTGAATGAAAAATTGAATAGTCAACTCTCGTGTTATATCAGGAACAATTTTTAATACGATTTAATGTACCCCACGTTCGATTACCAAAAATTCACACTTCAGAAAACACAATTTTAAACTTGTCATTAGAAGTAGCTTCAAACTTCGTCAAAATCACGAGCGCCTTTCATTTCTTATTTTACTTTTTCAGCGCAACCTGACAAAAGTGAAGTATGTTTCGTCGGACTGACATTACCTTTTACCTGACAATTTAACAGTTTCACCCCTTTTCCCGGCATATTCGACGTCAAAAAGCTTCGATCTCTATTTTTTTCCCCCTATAACTTCCCATGCAACGCGTTCTTCACCCTATTAAAAAAATATGTATCTCCAGTCTTTTCGAAGTAAATGAAGTAAACTCAGCCGTTTGACTTTTCGCTCGAAACAGCTTCGAAGTGAAAACTTCAAAGCTTCTCCCTCCGGATCGAAGTGTACGTATCGTCACAAAGTGACACTTAAGGTCGAAGCAAAAAAGACGCTTACACTCGAAGTTGCACTGCTCTTTGAAATATAATTTTCGATCGAAATAAATAAAACGAAGTATCAAATTACGAATAAAATATAGCGATCGTGAAGCAACGATGACACGGCACATTAAAAGAGTATAGCAAAATCATGTCGCGATGCTTCCTTCCCCGAGACTCGATTCACAAATTGAATAACGTTGTTGCAACTGCTCCGCGAAGTTGCAACATTTTTTTTCTTTCCTCTCTCTCTCTCACTCTCTGTTCCGATGAATTTTGCGCGATCGCACGCGCAACAACAGCAGCAGCATTGAGTCGAGGTGAGTCAGACGCGTTTAGAGGAGAGATACATACGTAATATACGTCATGTAGGATCGATACGCCTACCTTAAATAATATAATGCCGGCGAGTACTAATTCTTGTTCCGATTTTATTTTTCTTCTTCTTCCTTGCGTCAAATATTTATGCGCCTATGTCGTCGCATAACACAAACACACACAATTCCGCGGAAAACCCCATTGGCATGCGGATAAGGGGGGGAGCCGCCCGCGCAAGACAGAGAGAGTGCCGCGGTGGCGGCGCGCCACGAGATGCATGGCGCCGCGGCAGCAATGCATTAATAGGGCCATCCCCCGGCAGCAGCAGCACTTCGTTGAATTCCTGTGTGAATCTTTTAATCTGACACATTATTGTCCCGGGCGAGTTTTTCAAGAGGTTCGTTACATGTATGTATGCGTAACGTGTGTATAAAATATTTTTTTTTTTTTTTCGGTAACACGTCCCACTCGGTCAAGTGTGTATTATATACACGATGATCCGCTCAATAAGGCACATAATGGTCGCAAAACACGTATTACCTCATTCCCCGAGCGCCAGAGAGCATATTCATATTATGTGCACGCGCATACATAAGAAAGCGGAAATATGTCCATTTCAATCCCTTAAAGAGAAAAAAATAAAGAAGACGAAGAAGAAAGAGAGAAACCGATTATTCGTAACCGATTTATAAAGAGGCCGTCATTTATAATTGATCTTTCTCAGGCGCATAATCTCTTCTCGCGCCTTTTTAAGATATATATCATCCTCGTGCGCGCGCGTATTGCCAGGCCATCGCTATTATTCCATGAATCTCCGATTCTTTTATGAAGATGGTCCCAGAAGCCGTGAGTGAGTAGCCGGGCAGCAGTGCAAAAGTAGCAGCAGCATCGGCAGCAGCGACAGCAGCTCTAAAAAGAGGAAACCATAGCATAGAAGGCTACCCGGAATAAATATGTGTCCCGAATTCGCGCGCATAAATCAGCTCAGCAGCAGTGACCGCAGCCGCCCAGGCCGGCAAAAGAACAAGAACACACACGTGCAGACTCGCGCGAGGCAGTTTAGACGCGTGAGGCATCTTTATAGATCGAAACGCACACAGCCTGAAGACGCGTGCTCGAAGCTCTGTGTAAATATGCGCGCGCGAGCGAACGCGTGCGAAAAAAGGACGAGGCGGGCCGGAAATAAAAGGAATATAGGTATTCGACAACTCTTTTTGCTGTTGCTGCTAGATGCCACGCGAAATACTATAACACACGCACAGACAAAAAAAGGAAATGACTAGATAATCAGGGATGTTTCGCGGAATCGACACTCGAGGCGCGCGAGACCATTTCATTTTTCACTGCGTGTGTAGTGTGGCCGATCGAGCCGATGCCGCCCTCCGTGCAGGAATGCGTGAAAAAATTCCCTATATTACGTATATGGGCCGATTCGTAACAATAACTTTGTCGTGGTGTTGCGTATCTCAAATTGATTTTAAGTTACCGATTGTTGAGTGAGTTTGAAGTGCAGCTATGATGCTGAAAAGAAACATCAAGTTGAATGATTATTTTTTTGGACAAAAGTTGTAAGACTTATCAAACGAAAAAATTGCAGTTCTGTAGCCAATAAATGAGACAGTATGAATTCTTCGTTATCGAGATTGAAAGAAATTGTAACTACAGGTAGAAATTATTCGTAAATTTGATGTATTTTTATTATTTAAGTGAGTTTGCATAAACGAATACATTGGATTTATTTTAAAACTAAAAAAGTTACTCTTAAAAGACCAATAATTTTCATTTGAAAAATAATGTATCAATACTAAAATACTTAAATCGATGAAGTGATACTAATATTGAAATAAAAGTAAGTATACTACAAACAGAACTTCAATTTACTGTGAAACCAAAGTAAGCATGTTAAAAATCCACGTACGTTAACTTTTTTTTCGAGTACGTAGTGGTTCATGAGTGAACACTAGATGGCGTATGAACAAATTTTGCGAAACCAAAAGAGAAATTGCAAAGTTTTAGCATTATTTCGAACAAATAAATATTTCATTGAAATTCATGCAGGCAAACAATGAAATCGATTTTGTTGAGTCAATTAAACGAGTTGTTCAAAACTATTTAATATTTATTCATGATAAATAAATATTTTGTTGAATCCAAAAATGAAATAATTTAATTGACATAAATAAATATTTCTTTGAATTTAGAAAATAATTAGTTGGTTTAAATATAATTTTGTTACTTCAATCAAATAAAAATTAATTAAATAAAATAAAATATATTTAATTGACTCAACTAAACCTTTTTCTCAGTGTTGCAGACAATGAAATAAAATTTGCCAATTATGAGAGATATAATATTACAATTTAGTGCTCATCACAAATTGAGTAATTTTAATTAATTTGAAATTTGTACTATTTCAATGGAATAAAAAAATATTTCCTAATTTTGAAAGAACAATATTTTTTTAACGAAACAAAAATGACTGTGACTGTTTGCCAATAGCTTTAGGGCTCAAAGGGGGCTTAAAATCGAAAAAGTTTTCATTTCATTTTTGAGTAGGATTTTTTGTCCCCTTTCCATTGCATTTTTTGAAACTTCAAAATTTTGATCATTCAGTGAGATACAGCTGTTTCCCTGAGCCATTTTCGTATACTTTGCGGGTAAAATTTTTTCTTCTTTTGCGTTTTTTTGACGTTTTATGTTTTTACAAAGTGCACCTCAGTTGTCGTAAAATGCAGAGCGTACCGTTTGAGTTACAGCACCAGGGTCGTGTACACTTCTTCAGGGCATCAATGGTTACGGTCGCAACCTCGGGCGAGCCGATCCGACCCTTGAGTCACCCTGCACAAACACATAAACACGATTTTTTTTTTCTTTGTAAGTTTTTGTTTGTGACCTCCATCATGAATCTACTGATTGAAAGTGACCTATGAGTTCGATCAACTCGCAAAAGAAGAAAAAATTTAAAACACAAAGTATACGAAAAAGGCTCACGGAAATAGCTGTATCTCAGTGATAATCAAACTTTTTAAGTTTTAGAAAATGCAATGGAAAGGGGACAAAAAATCCTATTCGAACATGAAATACAATTTTTTTCGATTTTAAGCCCCCTTTGAGCCCTTGAATATATCGCTATTACTATGGTTATCGTTTGTGACTTGTTGGAAGTAGAAAGAGGTGATAAAAAATGTTTAATGCTCAATAATATTTTTAACATTTTTTAATTACATATAGGTAATTTGAATGTGAAATTAAAAACTGTACAACGTACTACAACTAAAATAAGTGCTATTTTTTTGTGAAAACATTATTAGTGGATCAGATATTTTTATAATATATTATTACATATAATCTTATTATCTAAAAGCCATCATACGATGGGAAACAGTTTTGCGATTACTACCGTAATCACTATAACTATCGTCCTCCATATCAATGTAACTATTATTATCGCTATAATCATCGCCATTATAATCGCTTTCATCATCGCTATTATCATCGTTACTATCATCGCTATTATCATCGTTACTATCAACGCTATTATCATTGCTATTGTCAACGCTATTGCTATTACCGTAACTGATAGTTTCACCTGCAGCCGCCAAGCAAATATTACACAAATCTTTGTTCCTAAATGATTCGTCTATGATTAGTTCAGCGCACTCGAGTGGCACTTGGTAATTTATCAGCCTCATGAAAGATTCTATGGCCCAACTGCGGAAAAATCTTCTCGATAGTTTCTCGCACAGATACACAGCACATTTATTCGCTTGATGCGAGGGGTAAAAATTAATAAAATTACAGCCAATTTTGAAGTAGTACTTGTACGTGACAATTGTCGAGGCCACATCGGGTGGTAACTGCATTGAGTCGTAGAGCGACACGCCTTGATCTCCCATTATATATTTTGCTGCGATCTCGAACGCTTCATTGCCACGCAAATAATTGTCAAAATCCGCTAACTTTCCGAACAATCCATGCTTAGCGAAAAATTTCATGATCATCAGGGCGATGCTACGGTCCACCTCGT